CCACAACGCCCGGCTACCTTTTGGTTGCAGCCATCATTGTTGTTTGGCGGGTCCGGGCTGGGGATTCGAACCCGCCACCCTAGGTGTACGTGGCTGGCGCCTTAGCCGGTTGAGCTATAGGCGCCGAGCCACTGATCTCATTTCAAACATCCCCCTGGCCACCTCCCTCCAATTCAAATTAAAAGGGCAGGGCCTCAAGTTCAGGGCCCAAAACTGAGGCTCTGTAATGCTGGAATCTGTCTTTCTAATAAGCTCACCATGTAATCGTGATGGAAACCTTCCCCCTGAGTCAACACCTCAACAGCTAGGGGTCTAGGAGCTGAGAGGCAATGTGAGCAAAGGGAGAGTCCCTCCTCCCCTTGGTTGGGAAGGAAGACACAGGAATCCTAAAAGCAGCTGCCACGTCGGTGCCTGGGGAGGGAATAGGGCAAAGATCCCCTCCGGGGTGGCCCTGGCCTGCCTGTATTTCCATCACCAGAAACTAACACAGAGCGTGGCATACAGTGATGTTTAGTTAAGAGGCTGCTGAATACAAAAATTAGTCAATCAAAATCGCTGATGCCCTCCCTGTGCCATTTCTTGAGGCTACACAGTCAGCAGAGCACCTCGGAGGGTCGGGATGAGAGGCTCTGCCTGTCTGAGCTGGAGGGTCGGGATGCGAGGCTCTGCCTGTCTGAGCTGGACGGTCGGGATGGGAGGCTCTGCCTGTCTGAGCTGGACGGTCGGGATGGGAGGCTCTGCCTGTCTCTGGAGCACACTGCTGTCATCTAAGACAGTCACACAGTAACTTTCAAGCTAAGTCCAGGGTGCTCCTAAAACACACACTGCCTCAAGAAGGGAGCAAAGATGATCAACAGAGTGACACATTTTACAATCTCGGTGGGCCCCTTCCAGTACTCAAGACAAAGAAAGCCCCAGACGAGGTGAGATTCCATGAGCTACTGAAGATGCTAATTCCTATCTAATCCCCTTAGATTATTGCCCCGGCTGTCTCCAAAGTCCCATCCTACTCCCACTATTTCTGCACAGAGCTACCAACAGCGCAACCCTACACCCCCTATGACCAAATCATGAGCTGCTCAGGCCCCCAGGTGGCTCTCAGGACCAACCTCATGGACCCACGCTCCGGTTCCACACCTCCATCACACCCAGGATAGACGCCATAGCCCTGGCCCCTGTTTCCAAAGGGTCCCTCTGAACGCACACCCCGCACGCACGACTTGCCTTCTTTCTTGCTGCAGGACAGGATGGGAGCTAAGCCTGGAGAGCAACAGCTGGGAGGATTAAGGGCTCAGCTGCTGAGAAAGGCTCACTTCCCGGTAAGGCCTCCAAGCCTCAGGCAGGGATGGAGGGAGACTGCCCAGGGGAAAGCGAGGGATCTACAAGCTTTCTGACTCCCTCAGTGGGAAAGCGAGAGGAATGGGAATCCCGAATGAAATGAAGAACCACAGCGCAGGGCTGCAAAGATGGAACTATCGCCTGAGTTGGAAGAGAAGTGGAGACTTGCTCCAAATTGTAGTCCCTTCTTAAAATTTTTGAAGTAAATTTTAAGAAAATATAACAGCTCACTGATGGTGATGCACTAGACAGTTGATTAAAGTAAAGTCAAAAAAGAAGAGTTTTTAATCTTAGTTTTAATTAGGTGTGCCAAAAGAGGAATTCTGAATACTGGTCTATTAAACCCCACTGGGTCCCCGAGAGCCAAGGAGAGCAGCTCAACTGGCATAAGAACCAGGGATGCTGTCAGGGACCAGCAGTCAGATATGAAGTGGGGCATTTGCTTAAAATGCGGATTACTGGACCTATTTCTGGGATGAGGCCCATTCATTTGCCAAAGCTCCCGTGGGGGTTGATTCTTAAGACAACTAAAGTTTGAGGCACAGGATCCTGGTCTGCACTCTAAATGCAGTGAATATCAACTGGGCAAGAGGCCCAGGAAGGTCAGTGTTAAACAAATACCTCACATGATTCTGAGCCTGGAGTCCAGAGAACCTCATCTCAACACTGGCTTAAAGGCCAATACGGTGATCCACAGGCTTCATTTCTCCTTTTCCTCTCTTGATGGAACTTCTCAAAATCTTTCTTTGGTAAAAGGATCTCCGTCGTAGATGCTTCTCATTTGGGGTGCTTTGGGTGGGGGGAGATAACCTCTGAGCCCACCTTTGTCCTGGGGGAGCCAACCCCGCCTTTCATTATGAGGCCAGCTGAGGTGCCCAAACTGTCATGGGGAAAGTGAACCAAGCTCAACCAATGACTGGCGTTCCACGGTGGCAGTGCCAACAGCCACATCCAGGGTCCTGCCCTGGGAGTTGTGGCCATTCACCAATCAAGGGTCCTAGTGCATGTCCAGAATTCCCAGGCCTGGCTAGCCAGCCTTCCGATGCATCACTTACCTAAGACACCCAGTCCCCATCCTTCCAAGTCCCCTTTCTGCTAAAATTAGAGAGTAGCTTCTACTATTTGTAACAAACCATCCTGTCTCTTTCTTTCTTTCTTTCAGAATTAAGGCAGCTTACTTATTTATTTTTAGAGACAGAGTCTCACTATATCGCCCTCTGTAGAGCGCTGTAGCATCACAGCTCACAGCAACCTCCAATCCTGGGCTTAAGTGATTCTCTTGCCTCAGCCTCCCAAGTAGCTGGGACTACAGGTGCCCCCCACAACGCGCAGCTATGTTATTGTTGCGGTTTGGCCGGGAGGAGTTTGAACTGCCACCCTCAGCAGATGGGGCCTGCGCCTTACCCACTGAGCCACAGGCGCCGCCCCGACCCTGACCTTAACAAATCTCAGAGATCGCTCTTGGCCTTCAGCAAAACCTGTATCTTTCATATTTTAAACAGTACCAAGAAAACAATACTTGGTTTCACGTTTTATTATTTTCTTTGCGTGCTGTCCTGGGATGCACTTGTTTACTTCACTGTACTAAATAAAGCGTTGAGAAATAGTCTAGCACAGAAATCATAATAAAGTTCACAAAAAATGTGTGGGGCACTTTAAAAAAACTAAACCAAAGAGCCCTTGTGAAATAGCCAACAGCCCAGGCTTCAGCGAAGGCAGTGAAGGCTCCGGCTTTCCCTGTCAGCCCCACATATCAGCCCCACAGCAAAGGCAGTTCCCTCGGTCCTCCAGGCCCGTCTCGATCCGCACGGAGCAGACGGTAGAGACCTAACAGGTAACGCGCTTGGCACAGGGTGGCGGTCAGGAAGGCTCCATGCTGCCTGCCACAGCCCACGTGAACGCTCCACGGGGCTCCTACACCTATCCTGACAGATGACAGCGAGGATCCTGAAACAGGGAACTCAAAAATGAGTGAGAAAAGTAAGGTGGGCGGCGCCTGTGGCTCAAAGGACTAGGGCGCCAGCCCCAGATGCCGTTCAAACCCAGCCCCGGCCAAAAACTGCAAAAAAGAAAAGAAAGGTCACGCAAGTCGAATCTTGTGAAGTTGCAAATATTCACATCTTCAGTCCAAAAAAAGACAACTTTCTACGGTTCGACCTAACACATCGCCGCAGTGGTTTGAATCTCGATTGAGCTTTGGGGGGCACGCAAGGACCCCCTCGTGGACTGGCTTGTTTTAGGAAAGGACGGCAGACGCTTGCGGGCGCCCAGCTGGCAAACCTTTCTTGAACTGCGGCCGGAGAAAGGTCAGTTGGCGCCGCCGGCTCCGGGGAACAACCTGTTGCGGCAGGAAGCTGGGGCGCGGCTTCTCCCGGCCTTTCTCTCCCACCCACCGCCAGGCCGGGCTTTCCTCTGGGCCTCGCCCCGATCCGGAGCTGCGGGACACAAAGGAAAGGGCGGCGGGGCGGGCAGCGCGGGAAGCCGGGAGACTCCAGGAATCTGCCGGGGGGCGGGGGGGAGGGTAGCCGGAGTAACTTGGCTGCCCAGAGCGCGTTGGCGCCAGGTCCCCTCCGCGGCCCCCATCAGGCACTGATTGAGGGTGCTCGCTCAAGGGGATCCGGAGCTAAGCTGCACCCTCCCACCCTCTGACCCAATACCCTGACCCTCCAGGCAGGGGCTTTCGGGGAAACTGATCT